GGAGAGAGAGAGAGAGAGAGAGAGAGAGAGAGAGAGAGAGAGGGGAGGGGGGGAGAGGGAGAGAGGGAGAGAGAGAGAGAGAGAGAGAGAGAGAGAGAGAGAGAGAGAGAGAGAGAGAGAGAGAGAGAGAGAGAGAGAGAGAGAGAGAGAGAGAGAGAGAGGTGGAGAGGCGGAGAGGCGGAGAGGCGGAGAGGCGGAGAGGCGGAGAGGGCCACACACACTCGCCTCCTCCGAGTGGTGGGAAAAGTAGAAGAACGTGAGCAGGCCGCCAACCACACTCGAGCAGTTGAACAGGGCCCAGAAGATGGCAAAGAGGCGCCCCTGGTCCGTCCCGTCCGAGTACTCGAGCATCAGCCGTCCCTGCGCTGTCCACAGCAGCGCCGCGCCAACGCCCAGCACGCCGCCGCCCAGAACGACCACTCCGCGGCACCACGGCGCGCCGACGATCGCGAGGAGGAGCGAGGCGGCGACGAGCGCCGCGTAGCCGAGCGCGCCGAGGAAGAGGGTGAGCCGCGGACCGAGCGTGTTTGTGACTGCGGGTGCGACGAAGCAGGCGAGCGTGAAGGTTGCGTAGAGCGTCGACTCCATCTCGGACGCGAGCGCCTCGCCATACAGCTGCGAGGCGAATCCCTGAATGGTGCTGTAAGCTGTGAATATGAAGAGGAAGATGACTCCGAGGATCGAGATCTGGCAGGACGCAGATCGGAGCCGCATCTTTCTCGTCCTGCCCCCGGGGATGCGTTGCTGTCAGGCAGAGCCCCAGCCGCTCTCAGATAACCTCGGACCTTTTCTTTTCCTTACCTTTTAACGATCTCGTTAAAAAAAATCTTTTTTCGCTTTCCCGAGCGTTTCGAGGATGGCCGCGATCGCAAACGCCGCAGTCAGCTCCCTGACGGTCCGAACCCCGCCTCCCGAGGGCACTGCGGCGTCACGCTACGGCGGATGTTCTCGCGCCGCGCTCTGACGGGCTCCCTCCCGCCACCTGCCCCGCCGCAGTCGCCCGATGCCAAAAAGGAGGAGTTCAGGAAGTACCTCGAGCGGTCCGGCGTGATCGATGCGCTGACCAAGGTGCTGGTCGGGCTGTACGAGGAGCCCGAGAAGCCCTCCAACGCGATCGAGTGCGCCACGCGCCTTTCCCGCACGCAGCGCGACGCCACACCGCCGCCACGCCCGCGCGCGCGAGAGAGAGAGAAAGAGCAAGTCTCGTCTGCAGCCGCGTGGCCGGCGAGCCGACGGGCCGGCCTCGGCACACAGGTTCATCAAAATGACGCTTGGCGCGCCGACGGGCGTCGACGTGGATCAGCTCAAGGCGGAGAACGAGACGCTACGTGCCGAGGCGGCTCGGCTACGCGAAAAGGTTGGCGCGCTCGAGGAGAAGTTGGGAGGTGCGGCGGCGGAGGAGTAGAGGGGAGGAGACTGGACCCATTGCGGCGCACGCCTCTCTGTTCTCCCTGTATGTCTATTTACTTGCTGCGGCTTGCGGCCGCCCTTTGTGTCTGTCGTGCCCGTCCGTCTTTTTGACGAGCCCTCGCTTGTCGCTCGTGAGTATGTACTTCATTCATGGAACGCGGAACTCCACGCCACGCGTCGGACAACTACAACATGTACATTAGTACTCGCGCTACCACGCGGTATTATAGAGTGTGTGGTCCCTCTCGCCTCTCTGTGGGCCGTCACCCCCGACCCCCGCGCTGCCCGCTCCGTCCTCCAGTACCGATCTCGAGCGAGAACGGCAAAAGAGAGGCGTTTCGTTTGGGCCCGCGCCGAGCAAAAAGCCAAAGGCCCGCCCCGATTGGTCACGGGTTGAGCGTGTCTCTGTACCAGACGCGGGAGAGGGTGAGGTAGACGAGTGCCCGCTCCCCCTCGCTCTCGTTCGCCCCTCCGCGGTGCATCACCCTCGGGTCGTACAGCACGCACGAGCCTACGCGAGAGGGCTGCGAGAAGCTTCCGGGCAACCCGAGCGCGCGGGTGGTGCCATGGCACCGCTCGCGCCGGCGGGGCAGCAGGCGGCCGCACGGCTCGGCGGGCGGACCAGGTTGGCCTGTGGCCGGGGTGAGGGTTGGGCGGGTGGGCGAGGCGTCGCCGTGGTGGCCAAGTCGGCAGGGCTGCGCTGCCTCCCTGCGCAGTGTATGCGCACGGAATCCAGTCCGCACCAGGCCCGGGTGCAGTCGGGTGCGTGAGTGCGAGTGCAAGCCTGCGTTGGTGCGCGGCGCGCTGTGTGCGAGAAGGGGTGTGCGTGTGACTGCGCGGGTCGTGCCGAGTTGACGTGCGGTGCGAGGCGGAGTAGTGATTCTGCGAGTGCATGCGCCGCCTTGATGTGCGACGCGAGGTGGAACTCGGTGGGCCCGTTGGCGGGGCGGAGGTCGCACAGCGGCACAAAGACAGACAGCGAGTGCGGCGGCAGGTGCTCTCGGCACGCAAAGAGGTGCGGCGTGTCCATGTGCCACCTGTGGGCCCATCCAGCGACTCCTCAACAGTGCACCAGGCAAGCAGGCGAGGCGTGCCCATGCGCCCGCCGCTGCGCCGTCGCGCCTGCAGCAGGCAGGACGGTGAGGGAGTGCGGCATCTCGCTGCATCTCTCGCCAGCAGCTCGGCGCCAGGATGCGACACCACCAGCCCGCACTTCTCGAGGTAGTGCTTTGGGCCGAGCAGCGCCTTGGCCGCCGCGGCGATGGAGGGGTGCTGGGCAAGCTCTGCGAACGCGGCCGCCTCCGGCGAGTGCACGTGCTCCCACCGCTTCGCCCTCCGGTTCTGCCGCTTCCTCGGCTCGAGCGCCGCAACCCTCTCTCGCAGCGCCGCCACCGCCGCCGCGTCGAGCACGCGCTCAACAACGCACACGCCCTCGGCACGGACAGCGGCGGCCACCTCCGCCGTCGTGGCGACCCGGGCGATGTCCGACGGCAGCGCTGCGGCGGCTGGTCGAGGCGGCGGCCGGCGGCGGAGCAGCCGCACCGCGGATACGACGACGACGGCGGCGGTTGCTCCAAGACCGAGCGCCCGTGCCGTAACCCATGGGCTGTGACGCCACGCCATCTGGTGGGCAGGAGACAGGCGTGCACTGTCGCCGAGCGAGGGCCGCAACAAAAGAAATCATTCAAGGGCAAATTTAGACCCAGGCGCCCACAAGAGAGCGTTCCCGTAAAGAGCAGGGGTTGTAAGGTTATTTTAATCGACTCACGCTCGAAGTTTCCACGACCCACCTGCTCCAGTGCTCAGAGATGTCCACCAGCCTCTCGGCCTACGAACAGGAGCGCCTCAAGAACATCGCGGCCAACAAGGCTGCGCTCGTCGCCCTCGGCATTGAACAGGACGTCGCCTCGATTCGCACACTCAAGACGCAGGCCCGCACTGTCAAGGGCTCGGCGATCAACAAGAAGAAGAAGGCGAGCAGTGTGCCGCCGCGGACCAAGTCGCTGCGTCAGCAGAACCTCGACACGGAAGGCAAGGCGATGCCCGACAAGCCGGTCGTCGCCACGCCCGACCCCGTCGTCCGCCAGCCACGCAAGCCAAGCGTGCCGCTCGACGCGGCAAAGGTCTCGACCGGCGCGACGTCGGCGGAGGAGGCGGCCACATTCTTGGCGCGGCTTGGCGAGGGGAGCATCCGCGAGGCACCAGCGCCCGCGTCGCGCAAGACCAAGATGGACCTGAGCTCGCTGGCGGTGGCGGAGGACGACATTGCGAAGCTTGTTCCCGAGCGGATCTTCTCGCTCGCGGTGCACCCGTCGCCGACCAAGCTGCTCGTCGCTGCGGGCGACACGTGGGGCAGGGTGAACCGCTAGACGTCCTTCATGACGCTTCTTCTCGGAGCCTCCCCTGAAGATCCTCGGAGCCTCCCTCTGGTAGGTCGGGCTGTGGGACGTCCTCGCCGGCGACGAGACGCCGGTCGTCACCTTCGAGCCGCACTCGCGCCCCGTCGCGGGGATGCGCTTCGCGGCGCACCTGCCGCACCTGCTGCTCTCCTGCTCGCACGACGGCGCGGTCCGCGCGCTCGACCTCGGCGGCGGCGGCAGCTCCGCTTTTGTCGAGCTGTACCGCGCACCCGAGGACCCGGACGGCGACTATGCGATGCTGCACGCCCTCTCGCGCACCGCGGGCGAGGGCGGGGCGCTCGCCGTCTGCCGCACCGACGGCCTCGTCACGCTGCTCGACCCGCGCGCTGCGCCGGGCGGCGGCGGCACGGGCGTGCACACGCAGCGCGTGCACGAGAAGAAGGTCTTCTCGGCCGACTTTAGCGCGGCCAAGCCGCACCTCCTCGCCACGGCCTCGCTCGACCGCACCGTCTGCCTGTGGGACGTGCGCGCGTTCGGCGGCGCCGGCGGCAAAAAGGCGAAGCCGCTCGCGACGCTCGAGCACGGCCTCTCCGTCACGGCCGCACGCTTCTCGCACTCCGGCGACCGGCTGCTCACCACGTGCAACGACGACCTGCTGCGCGTATTCGCGGGCGGCAAGGCGGACAAGGACTGGGCGCTGCAGACGGCCATCAAGCACAACAACAAGACGGGCCGCTACATCACAAGCTTCCAGGCCGAGTGGCTGCGCGGCTCCGACGAGACGGTCGTCTGCGGCTCGCTGCTGCACCCGCGCGGCATCGACGTCTTCGACGCGAGCGACGGCAGCGCGGCCGAGCGGCTCGAGCACGACAACGTCACGTCGGTCGTCTCGCTGATCGCGCAGCACCCGACGCAGCCCGTGCTGGTCGCGAGCAACTCGGGCGGAAAGTGCTTTTGCTGGCGGCCGGAGGAGTGAACGAGGCCGTCGTGGTAAAAAGGGGGGGGGGTGCGCGTCGTATTTCTTGCGGTGACGAAATCCTACCGTTACAGTGCACCGTATGAGCCTGGCTGTCTGCTCTTTGAGAGGGAGCACTTGGAGTTTTGTTGTAAAATTCTTTTCGCGACCTGGCATTCTTTTCCTATCTTTCGAGGGCTGTCGGCCGCGGCGCTGTGAGGCGGCGCAACGCACTGCTGCACTGCTCCGCCGCCGTCGCCGCCGCCGCCGCCGCCGCTGGCTTCCTCCTCTGGCGCCATGCCGCAGATGCGCGTCTCCAACTCTCCCAACCAGGAGTGCGCCCTCACCAACTGCGCCTTTCTCTCCGACGCGGACCACTCTCTCCTCGGACCGGGCGGCGATGTCTACGTCGAGATGGGAGGCTATGTGCTGACGGCACGGGCGGACCGCCGCGTCGAGCCCGGCTGCGTCGCCCTCAACTCGATCCACCGTGGGATGCTCAGCGTCTCGAACGGCGCGTCGATCGCCGTGGACGTCTTTTCGCCGTCAGCGGCGGAGAAGGCTGGCGCGGCGATGGTGGTGTTCGAGGTGGACTACGTGCTGCGGCAGCGCGGGAGCGGCAGGGAGATTGACGCCGGCGAGCTCTCCAAGGCCTTCCTCGCTCGCTTCGCGCTGCAGTACGTCACTGTCAATCAGCCGGTCGTCGCCGAGTGGCAGGGAGACGAGAGGGCCGGCGGAGCCGCACTCTCCGGACGCTTCTCCGAAGCGCGTCGGAGCCGTCCCCGTAGGCGACAACCTGAAGCTGACCGCCACGAGCCTCGAGGTGATCCCGCTGGGGCAGGACACCGCGAAAGGCGCGCGCAGAGGCGCCGCTCGAGCCCGCGGCCGCAGCAGCTCCTCCTCCTCCCGCCGCCGATGTTGAGGAGAGGCATGCCCTGCTAGGCATGCTCGGCCCGCAGACGCAGCTGCAGCTCCGGCCGGCGGCACAGTCGCCCATCAAGCTCACGGGCGCCGCCGTCGAGGAGGCCGCAAAGACAAACATCTTCCGCTCGGACTGGTGCCAGCCGTGGGGCGGGAGGCGGGGGTCCGAGCGGAACGGGAGGAGGCGCCTGACGAGCCCGGGCGGCGTGCGCAGGTCGTTCGAGGCGATGGGGATCGGGGGGCTCGACCAGGAGTTCTCCGACATCTTCCGCCGCGCCTTCGCCTCCCGCATCTTCCCGGTCTCGGTCATGAAGAAGCTCGGCATCTCGCACGTCAAGGGCACGGCGCTGCACGGCCCTCCCGGCACCGGCAAGGCGCCGTCTCCTCACAGCCGCGGGTGTGGACAGGCATGATGCTGCACGGCCCTCCCGGCACCGGCAAGACGCTCATCGCGCGCCAGATCGGAAAGATGCTCAACGGCAAGGAGCCCAAGGTGGTCAACGGGCCCGAGGTGCTGTCCAAGTTCGTCGGCCAGGCGGAGGAGAATGTGCGCTGCGCCACGCGGCGAGGCGGGAGGCTGCTACGCCCCCTCCCGGACCCTTCCCGGCCGTGTGTGCCCCGCGCCAGGTGCGCAAGCTCTTCGCCGAGGCGGAGGCCGAGTACGAGTCGCGGGGCGACGACTCGGTCCCGCTCCCGCTGCTCGCCACGGCTGAGGCGCGCGGAGGGCGTCTCTTCACGCGGCGCTGCCCGTGAGCAGGACCTGCACATCATCATCTTCGACGAGATCGACTCGATCTGCAAGCAGCGCGGCATGCAGAGGTCGGACGCCGGCGTCGGCGACACGGTGGTCAACCAGCTGCTCTCCAAGATCGACGGCGTGCACTCGCTCAACAACATCCTCGTGATTGGCATGACCAACCGACTCGACATGATCGACGCGGCGCTGCTGCGGCCCGGTGCACCTGCGAGCCGAGCCGGGCACACCCCGCAGCGCGAGCCCGGCTGCATCTCGGCTGCCTCTCGACTGTGTAGGCCGGCTCGAGGTGCAGGTCGAGATCTCGCTGCCGGACGAGCACGGGCGGCACCAGATCCTCTCGATACACACCGCAAAGATGCGCGAGAACAAGTACCTCTCGCCGGACGTCTCGCTCGAGGAGCTCGCCGCAGAGACGAAGAACTTCTCCGGCGCCGAGATCGAGGGGCTGGTTCGGTCGGCAACCTCGTGGGCCTTCGGGCGGGAGGTGACGGTCGAGAACGTCAAGAAGGGCGCAAAGGCGGAGAACTTGCTCGTGACGCGGCCGGACTTTGACCGCGCGCTGGCGGGGCCGCCGCCCTGCTCTCGTGGCGTGGGGACGGCGCCTCTTCACACGCCGTCGCTCTAAACAGGCGGAGCTGCAGCCCGCCTTCGGCTGCCCCGACGAGATGCTGCACGACGCCATCCCGCAAGGCACGCTCTCGTCACGCTCTCGTCGGCGGCACGCTGCTACCGCGAGACCGGCGCCACACCGACCCCCCCCCCCCCCCCCAGGCATCCTCGAGTACGGAGGGTCGCTGCCCCGCCTCAAAGAGACGATGTCGGTCCTCATCCAGCAGCTCCGCGCCTCGTCGCGAACCTCCCTCCTCTCCGTCGTGTTCGAGGGCGCCGCCGGCGCCGGCAAGACCGCCCTCGCAGCGCACATGGCGCTCACGTCGACCTTCCCCTTCGTCCGCCTCATCGCCCCCGCCACCACCCTCGGCGAGCGCGAGGCTGCAGCGGCGGCGTCCGTGGACAGCGCGTCGCCACGCCGTGTGCCCTGCGCCTAGGCGTGCACGAGGCGGCAAAGGCGGCGCAGATCAAAAGCGTCTTTGACGACGCGCACCGCTCCGAGCTCTCGGTCGTCATCCTGGACGACCTCGAGCGGCTGCTCGACTACGCGCGGATCGGGCCCCGCTTCTCGAACGTGGTGCTGCAGACGCTGCTCACCTGCATCAAGCAGCCGCCCAAGAAGAAGGGGGGCAAGCTGCTCGTGCTGGGCACGACCTCCTCCTCCGAGGCGCTCAAGTCGCCCCAGCCGCTCGACGCCGCTCCACGCGCCGCTCCTCACACCCGCCACCCGCGAGCAGGTCCTCGAGTCGCTCGAGCTGCTCGACGCGTTCAACGTCAAGCTGTCCGTAGAACCGCTCGACGCGCCGTCGGCGCCGCGCCTCCTTTGCGAGCTCCGCCCTGCCGTGAACGGCGCCCGCTCACGCCGCCGCCTGTTGAGAGCAGGTGCTGCGCGCCCTCGGCCAGCTCGGCGTCACCAACGCGGCGGAGCTGCAGCCGATCCTCGGCTCCCTCGCCACCGGCGTGCCCATCAAGAAGCTGCTGCTCGTGCTCGAGATGGCGATGACGGCCGACCGGCGGGTCGACCCGGCGAGGTTCACAGAAACGCTGCAGCACGCGGGCATCCTCGGTTGACGCACAGGACCACAGCAGAGCGCTCTTGTCCGTCACCACCCACTACAGCACCCACGGACGGGCACGGCCGCCGCCCTTGTGCCTTGAGAATGGGGCGGTGCGAGCCAAAAAAAACGCAAGACTACAACAATCCATTAAAACAACAACAACCACACAATCCTCCTCTGCCATGGCTCTCGGGCTCCTATTTGTCCGATGGAAGGCCCCTACCACAGAGGAGCCGAACCCGCTGGGTTGTCAACCGAGCGCGACTCCGACACAGCGCGCCCACGGTTGGCCACCCGAGTGCGCTGCATGGCCGGAAGCAGCGTCGATGAGGTCCTCGCCGCGGACTGGCCCGTCTCCGTCGCCGACTTTTGGACGCGGCAGTCGGAGGGTGGCCCGGCGCTCGCTACTCAGTTTGGGTGGTACTCGGGGCTGCGCTCCAACTACCTACCACTGCTGCAGAGCGAGCATCTGGTGCAGTGCGCCGCGTGCAAGCGGCCGGTGGTCGCGGAGCGCTTCGCCGCCCACCAGGCGCTCTGCTCGACGCTACCGCTGCGCGAACTCCTCGCGCAGGAGAGCGGCCACGGCCGGCCAAAGGCGAGGCCTTCTAACGGGGTGGAAGGGCGGACACAGCTGGGCGCATCCCCGTCGGAGGGGCTGGGGCTCGACCTGGACGCAATCTGCGGCGTGCGGCGCGGCAACAAGGGCGGCGTTTGCGAGCGCCCCCTCGGCTGCAAGTACCACACGCTCGCGCAAAAGCGCCTCGTCGTCGGCAGGAGAGAGAGAGAGAGAGAGAGAGAGAGAGAGAGAGAGAGAGAGAGAGAGAGAGAGAGAGAGAGAGAGAGAGGACAGACGCCGCCGGGGAGAGAGACGCGGCCGAGACGCTCTTCACTCGCCTCCCAGCCGACTCGAGGTCTCCTCCCCGCCACCCCGTGGCAACCCCACCACCCTCGCCCTCTCCCCCCCGCGCCCAAGGCCCGAGGGTGTCAGAGAGACCACGCGAAGCCAACCCCGCCTCTCCCCCTCTACCCTCTGTCCAGGTCTCGCCCCTTCGACGAGCTCCACCAGAACCGGAAGCGACCGCCGCCGCAGGGGGCACCGCGCCCGGCGCAGGCACACCCGCCCCTCCCTCGCCGCTCGGCTCTCTCCCCTCGGCGCGTCACGTCCACGACACGTCCACGACACGTCCACGACGCGCACCGTAGGCTCCCTCCCTGGCAGCCGGCGGCGCGGGCGGAGACGGCAACGGCGCGGGTGGCGCCGCGACGCCCGCCGCCGCCCGCTCCGGCCTCCTCACACCCCGTCCCTCTCGTGGCGCAGGCCCCGAGTCGCCCTCCCGACCGGACCCGGCCTGGGAGGCGGAGTGGGCGAGGCTGCTCGAGGCGATGCCGCCGTACCCCGAGGCGGCCGGGAGAGACCGCACGGGGCCCGAGATCGCAGCGACAGAAGACGGACATGCGCAGCGCGAGAGAGATGCACGCCTGCAGCCTGAGCCGCCCTCCCTTCCCCCGCGTGCAGGCGGTGACGACGACGAGCAAAACCCGGGCGTGGCCGGCGCCGCTCTGCGGTGGCCACCGCAGCGCCGCAAAGAGCCGCAGGCTGTGGGGTGTGCCTGTGGCGGCGATCGCAAAGGGGCCGCCGCCGGTGGTGTCGCAGCTGAGCAGGTAGCGGCAGTACACAGCCGTAGGGACCGCGCGAGAGAGAGGGAGGGCGGCCGAGAGGCCCCTTCAAGCACCCGCGTTGTCTGATATTTCCCCGGGCGCGATTCAAAAATCTTCACCACACTCCACAGAACCAACGTACGGGGCGCCAAAACGTACCACGCCTTCCGAGCACGCCGAGAGGCAGAGCGCGCCATACGGCCTACGTCCCCTCCCCCCTATACGCCCTAGTCATAGACGAGATAGAGCAGCGAGCAGCAGAGCGGCCCCCCTCGGCTCGCTGCACTCTCTCTAGTCTCCGCTACGAGTACGACCGGGGTCTGTAGCTGTCACATGAGCTGTCAACTCTCCGAGAGGGCCGAGCGTGAGAACGAAGTGTGTGGAGACAGAATCCAAGGTCACGGGCCGAGGATGACCCGCCAGCTCTCATTCCACACCCGCCCGTGCCTGTCCACGTGGCCCGGCTGGTCCCAGAAAATATCGTACCAGACGGCGCCGCGCACCTTTGGGTTCTGCCGCTTTGTGCAGCACCAGAAGGCGGCCCACACGAGGAGAGTGCGCTCGGTCTGCTGCCGCTCGCTCGGCGGCAGCTTCTCGTACAAGTCGGGCGGCATTTCGCCGAAGAGGAGCGGTGCGGCCGGCCGCGCGGCGAGCTGTGCGCGGAGCGGCAGCAGGCTCGCCTCGTCCAGGCTGCTCGGAGGGCGAGGCAGAGTGATGGGCGTGCGCAGCTCGGCCGGCAGGCGCGGGTTCTGCAGGAAGGAGTACTCGCGCACGGCGACCAGCCGCCCGTCGCGGCCGTGATTCCGCATGAGCACCTCGAGGTCGAGGACGAGGTCGGCCGGGCAGGGCGAGATCGGGAGGGGGGTGTCCGTCCCCGGGATCGTGCCGTTGATCTCCCACCAGAGCCGGTCGAGCCCGCACGTGAGCGTGGGCAGGACGAGGACGCGGCCGAGCTTCTGCGCGAGCACCCAGGCGGAGCGCAGCTGCGACAGCTGCTCGTGCACCATCGCCATGTGGGCCTCGACGCCCATCACGCCCGACGGCCGCGCGAGGTCGAGGCGCACGCGGGGCGTGTACGCCAGCACGCCCTGCGGAGGGGAGTAGTACTCGGGCGGGTCGTCGACGAGCGTCGCCTCGCGCAGCCGGTGCATCTTGGAGGCTCCCGGGGTGGGCAGGAAGGTGGGGTGGACGGCGATCGGCTCGTGGCGGTGCCGCTGGGGCAGGCGCTGCACGAAGTACGTGTGGCCGTTGCAGAAGCGGTCGACGGGGAGGACGCCGATCGACGTGGTGCCGTTGAAGCCCGTGAAGAGGCGGCGGCTCGCCAGCGCGGGCCGCACAGTCCTGCGGGGCTTGTCTTCGAGCGCCGTCCGGATCAGCGCCTGCTCCCACTGCTCGGGAGTGTCGACGACGAGCTTGTGCCACGCCTCGAGCGCCGGCAGCGCGGAGCGGTGCCAATACAGCAGGCCGACGTTCCACGCGGCGTAGTAGACCGCGGAGACCTGCGGGTCCTCGAGCTGGCCGTCCGCCCGGGCGCTCATGTTCGTGTTCAAAAAGTCGGAGGAGACGAGGACGGGGCCCGGGCGGACCGCCTCGTCCGAGAAGCGGAGCACGAACGGGACCGGGTCCCCGCTGAAGAGGACGTCGGCATCGGTGAAGAGTAGGTGCTCGCACCCTGCGCGCAGCAGGGCGATCATCACGTGCGAGCGCAGGCCCCCAAGCTTGGCGAAGCGCTCGTTCGGCGCGAGCCCGCCCGCCTTGGTCTTCACCCACGTCATCCGCATGTCGGCTGGCGGCACGCCCTCGCCGCCGATGGTCGGCACGCCGCGGCGGACCAGCTCGGCGCGGATCTCGGAATCGACGGCAAACACCGCAAACGACCGGTTCAGCGCGCGCACCGCAGCGACCCAACTCAGAGCCATGTGGAGAGAGTTGTGGTCGGCGATGCACGCGATGAGGGCCCCGTCCGAGTGGCGGCGGGCAGCGTCGCAGACAGCCAGCACGGAGGCAGCACTCGGTAGAGCAGCATCCTGAGCACTCGGCAAGCGGACCTTTGCAGCAGACAGCATTTTGCCGCCACCCGTCGCACGGAAGAAGCCGACAAGCTGGGTGACGCAAGCGCCCAGAGCAAAGGCGAGGACGAGCTCGAAGGTACGCCGTCCCATGAAGGTAGATATCCTTGGCCGTGTTGGTGCTGCTTGCTGTCTCCGCCTCGCTCGCGAGCCCGGCGCTCCTCTCTTGCTGTCGGCCTGGTGTACTTGGCGCGCGGGGAAGAAATTGTGCCGACAGGAAAAGAAAGTTGCAGCTTGCAAAAGAAAACCTCCGCGGCACGCAAGACGGCCGCACTCGCCTCGGCGCGACCAAAGGAGCACATGTCGGATCCCATCGTTGCGATGGGCATGCCGGTGGCGGGCCCTTCCGTAGTCGCGGCGACAGCGGTCGACGCTGTCGCCGCTGCTCCCGAGCCCGACATGGCCCAGCTGCAGCGGGACGGCTTCCCGCCTGGCTTGGCGTTTGAGATGCACAAGTCGTCGCAAGCCTTCCCGCTGCGCATCTGGGTGGTGGACAACAGTGGCTCGATGAATGCGGGCGGCGGCTATCCACTCGAGCAGGTGTGTAAGCTGAGTTAAATTCCGAAGCGAGCTTTGTTCTTTTAGTGCTCAAATTCTTTTCCGTAAAAAGAAAGAAAGAAAGAAAACGGACAACCCAAGGGAGGGATGGGAGGACGGCAGGCCGCCACCACACAGGGATTTAAGGAGGGAAAATTCTTTTCCGTAGGAGCCGGAACCCTGTGATGGCCGCGGACTCTCAGCGCGCCGGGCGGCACGATGGATGGCCGAACGAGCTCCGAGCTCAGTGCTGCCCTCGAGAAGTTCGTCCTGCACGACACGCCCCCTCGCTCTTCACAGGATGAAGTCGCCGCAGCGATTGCCACCGCAAAGGCAGAGTGGCTGATCCCGCCGCGTACTGGCGGAAGGAAGACGCCGCAGTCCCGGCTCCCTATGGAGCCCTCTCTGCTTCTGCCCCCCGCGGCTATTGACGCCCGGGAGCAGGCCGTCGTCGCGTGCGGAAAGATGGAGCTCAACCGCGCGCGGGTGGAGCTCGAGCGGCTACTCGACGGCGTGGGGCGTGACAGCCGGCTCTACGGCCTCGCGATCGTCACGCTCGTCGAGGCTGTGGACCGGCGGAACACTGTCAAGGCGTTTGTCGCGCTCGGCTGTACCTTCTCTAAGAAGGGCACCTACCGCAAGAAGGTCCTCTACCTGCACGTGCCCTGGGCCGCTGGGGTGCGTTCGGTAGCGGCGGTGCGACGGCACTACCAGCTTGAGGCGACGGCGCCAGTCGCGGCGGCGGCAGCGGCGGCGGTGGCGGTGGCGGAGGAGGCGGAGGGCTTGCGGCTGCACCTCTCGAGCGGAAGCGCCACCGGCTACAAGGGCGTGCACGAGCATGCCTCTGGCCGCTTCCGGGCGCAGCGCAGTGTGGCCGGAAGGACGGTCGCCCTCGGCTGCTTCGCCACGGCGGTGGAGGCGGCGGTGGCGTACGCGCGGGCGGTGGCGGAGGCGGCGGGCGCGGCGGCTGAGAATCTGCAGATTCCAGAGGGGGAGGCGCGGAGCGTCTCCGCGCCCGAGCGCCTCGCGCAGGTACCGGCGGCCGCGCCGAACGCCCTCGTGCCGGTTGCGAGCCCGAGCTTCTTTTACGCCATCTACAGGGAGTACGAGCAGCCTGCCATCACCGCCATCAGCGACCTCGTGTTCGAGGGCTCGCCTCTGCTCGTTTTAATGCGCGAGTTTGGCGCCGATCGCGTCAACTTCCTCGGCGTCTGCGGAGAAACCCTCTCTCACCACTCTCCTTTCCCGTAGGCCGCGCGTGCTTCTTGATAATCTGGTCTCGCGCCAACACTCGCGAGATGCTGCTGCAGTCGATGATCGTGCAGAACTGCTCTCGCATCGTCACACGGTCGGGCACCACTCTCTATTTGATGCTGATGCATGGCGTGAGCGTGATCGAGAAGGGCGACACGCCGACGGAATCGTCGAAACTCGTCGACGTCATGCTGGAGTACGAGGTGTTCGCGATGGAGGGCACGAGGGTGGCGCTCGGGCCGGTCCTGATGGCGCTGCGCGAGATGGGTGGCCCCGGCAGCACGGTCCCGCCGCACAGTTTCGTCCTCCTGTCCTGCCAACTGGCTGTCAAGGTGAGCAGGGCGGCGGGAAGCGGGAGAGATCTAGCACACTTCCTTGTGCGCCAGGTCAGTGACGAGGAAGTTAGCATCTACCCACCTCACCACACACCCGTGTGCTCACAGGCGGGACTGATCGACTTCAACTCGGATACCGGCGTGCTGCTCCCGGCGTGCGTTCAGGGCAAGCTATTCTTTTCGCGTTTGCTCGCTGCGTCCAAGCTGCCGTCGGTGCCGAGCTACTTTGAGTACACTTACGCCCCCGGCTTCACCCACCTGATCGAACAGTGCAACGCCGAGTTCCACACCGAGTTCATCTGCTTCCTGCGGCGTGCGACAGACAAGTGCGGGCCCTCCTCCTCTCCCCGCTCGCCTCCATTCCATCCCCTACGGCACCGCCTCCTTCTCTCATAGGCTCGAGTCAACTGGTGAGAAGCTCGCGGTGAGCATCTCCTTCATCGACCCATCAAACGGCAACGAGACCGAGCAGTACGACATCGACGACGCCGTCGAAGTCTGCCTGCAATCGGGAGTCACGTACACCGACTCCAACCGCGACTCCAAGCTCTTCACGGCGCTACAGGCGCGCGCTTCGAACTGAGGTTCGAGTAGCCGACGCGCTCGGCCGCCGGACTCAGTCAGACTCTTCCCCATAGGCAAGCGCCACCATGGTGCTCGGCGAGTGCAACTTGGAGGACGTGTTTTCTCACTCGTCTTTCAGGGGATGCTTCAACGAGCACTACCACCATTCTGTGCTGAAGCACCCGTGGACCATCCTAATCGGTGCGAGATCTCGGCTGATCTCTCTTGGCCGATCTCGGCTTATCTCAGCTCAATCCCTTCGTGAGTGTGCACATTTAAGTTCACCACCTCGAGATCTCGGCTGGATGTCGGCCCTACAACTCGGCTCGATAATCTCGGCAAAATCTCTGCCGATCGGGTGAACAGGCTGTGACTACGTGCTCTACTACACGTGGAACGGCACCCGCATCGTGATCGACAAGAGGGCGATCATGATGCGCCTCCTCGGCAACGCACAGCCCTGCCAGGGCTACAATAGCGAGGAGGAGGAGGAGGACGACGAGGGGTGAAACACTTGGGCGCGCCCAGCTGCCAGCCCCGCTCAGCTGTCACGCTCGTTCAACCCCAATCGCCGCTGTGTAGACTTTCGCCATCTCGCGGGAGAGATCTGACAGCCCTCCGCGACTCCCACCCCCCTCTCAGGATGCCCTCGAGCGTCTCGATTGCGCGGCGAGTCGCTCTCGCGCGTCGAGACGCTCTCTTCGCCGTCCACTGCCGCGCGCGCCGCAGCTCCGGCTGCAGCAGGCCCGCCCAGACCGCACTGGCGACGGCGGAGCCGGCTAGCGGCGGCACTCCGCGCGTACGATGCATGTGCATGTACGGACACTCTTGGTGGGCATCTTCTCCCTCTCTCGTCCAGCGGCGGGCGCCGCGTACTGGGAAGACTCTTTTTTTACTGTTTTGGATTCACGGCTGGCAGAAGATCTTGGAGCACTGGAGTGCAGTCGGCAGCCTCACACCCGGTCCGGGATTAGTAGTCCTGTTTTTTCTTCTTCTGCTCAGTATCCTCTCCCGGGAGTAAGATACCGCGGAGCACGCTTGGGGAGATGGGGAGCACTTGTGGAGTGCAGTCGGTAACCTCACATCCAGGGCCGGGGAGCTAAGAAGCGCGCCCAGCGGGCCGGATGATCGGCATCGGGCTACGGGCAGAAAGAAAGAAAACAGACAACCCAAGAGAAGTCGGTAAGAAGAAAAATGCCGCTGCATCACGACTTCTCTCATATGGCGGCAACAAGCAGCAGCGCTGCAATCTCACGAGTGCGCGTGCTCATCGACTCTCCGACGCCGCGGGTCGAGAACGGCGGCCTTCGCCAAGGCGAACTCCACATCGAGCCGCAGAGCGGGCCGCGGCCCGGGTTGCTTCTGGTGGAGCTCGCGAGTGTGGCGCCGGCCGTGGTCGAGGAGACACTTATCCTCGCGTGCGCGATGGAGGACGACTTCGACTCCAAGAACGCGGTCGTCCTGTGGCTGCGTGATACTCTTCGACCCAAGCTGCGCCCCGCGGTGGGCGCGGCGCGCGCCGAGTACGAGTACTCGCCCGTGGTCCTGCACGGCGTGCGGGGTGGCCTTTTCGGCACCCTGCGCGGGCTGCTGCCCGGCCTGCCGACCCGGCCGCGGGAGCTGCTCCTCCGCTCGCACAACAACCACTTCGTGGAGGTGCCGGCCGTCGACCTTGCCAGCGCGCCGCGGCTCACGCGCGAGGAGCTGCACCTCGGTGATGACGCCGGCCGCCAGTGCGCTCATTTCCGGCTGGCCGTCATCGCCGGCGGGCGGGCGCTGCTTGCCGCGGCGAGCAAGCGACCCGTCGCAGTGCGGCGCGGACGCGGCGGCACCGTTCCCATAGTGTATGTGGGAGCGGTGCCGGAAGGGGAGCCTCCCGATTGGCACTCATTCCCGCTCGTGCACGTCGGCACCTGCGAGATGCTCGTCGGAGACTTCATCCACCCGCTGGTTTCGCGCGCGTCGGGCAACGGCCTCTCGTTTGCGGACGAGCCGAGCTTTGAGCTCGTGCGCGCACCCCTGCGCGTCGAGATGCACAGCGTGGATGTGACACCCGAAGTGATGGACGTGGTTGGCGGCGAGGGCGGCGCGGAGGGAGGCGGCGAGGACTGCGTCATCGAGGAGACAGACGACGAGGGCGGTGCGCCACCCTCGAAACGCCTCAAGGTCGCGCTCCTGTCATGAAACTCGACTCGCGCGCACTGTGTACCTGGATCTCTGTGCGAGTTGTATCTCTGTGCGACCGCCTCTCTGTGGGGGAGCTCGAGAGCTGCAGCTCGAGAGTCGAGCGGTGTCGTGTGTCGAGAGGCTCCCTCGTTCCGCCGTGTGGCGTCTGTAAAGCCGTCGATACGGTTTACGGCATACCGGGGTTACGTTTTATACCGCGCGGGGTGCACACCTCTCTCTCGGCATCGCCATCGGCGACGATCGGAAGCCGGCACCTCAGGCTCCGGCTCAGGTCAGAGGGCCCAGCGACTCGTCGGTTGGGTGTAAACGGGCATCCCCGAGTGGCTTCAAACCAAAAAGGGTGTGAATAGAGCTGTCTTGATGGTGCTGAGGACGAAGCCACCTCAAACTTTGTTGAAGCCGCGAGTTTTTATAGTTTTCATTAGCTGTGAATAGTTTTGCGCCCGCCGCAGCCCGCCCTGTTCCACCTGGGCACGCGCCACGGGGCCACGAGAGCCCTGGTAGAGCCCAGCTGGCATGTTCAATCGTCCGGGTGGCGAGCTGTTTGCATGCAGACGTCTCGTCGCCGTGGCCGACGCATGGCTGGTCCAACGTGTGGAGGAGTTTGACCTCAGCTCGGCCGTCGGTGTCGGCGGGCTGACGGCGGCCGCCGGAATCGCGATTCGCTCTGCCAGCTGCCAGCAGCCTCGCGTCGCCGCTCTCGTCGGCGCAGCAGCAGCGATTGGCCTTTGCGCAGTCGCTCGGCGTCACCGCCGATCGGTCCCTTGCAGCTCTTGCTGCTCCTGCTGCTCCTGCTGCCGCTCTTCCCCTCTCGAGCCTGCTCCCGAGCAGCAGATCCCTCCGACCAAGCTTACGATGCGCCTCTCTCGCCGCATGCCGTCGAGGAAGCGCTACCCGGCCCACCTGCGGGAACGTCAGATGCGCGCTTCCAATGCTCGCTTCTCCAGGCGGCTTGGGTGCGGCGCCTTGCGCAAGGCACGTGCAGGACACCGCCGGGCACAGTCCCGAGTGCAGCGCCGAGCACGGAGCAGGGCGTGGGCGAGAGCCATGACCGAGCGACGCCCTTCGATGGTCACTCGCGTATGCTCGGCACTCAAGGGCGTCTTCCGCAGTGTCCGCCGCTGGCTCAAAGGCTTCTTCCGCAGCGTCAGCCGCTGGCTCTATGGCGGTGAGGCTGACGAAGCCATCCGCTTCATGGAGGCGACTCTACCCCAGTGGGTCACCAACGTCATCAATTCCGGCTCTGAGGACGGGGCCAATCTCGAGACCGCGGTCCGCGCACTGCTTGCGTCGCCCCACGTCGAGAGGATTGAGCAGCTCTCCGGCGACCGCGGAGGCGTGTGTGCCAGGCTGTGGTGTCGAGCTGCGCATTCTAGCTGTAGAAGTGAGCAGCGCCAAGTCACGTTGAAACGGACGACCCTCGCAGAATGCGCCGTCTCGCTGCTCGACCTGATCAACACCAAGCACGGCGCGAAGGCGGAGTGCGTCGTCGCGGCGGAGGCGGCCCGTGCTGCTGCGGCGGAGGCTACCGAAGCCGGGCCGTCGGCGCCCGCCAACGCGTTTGCGGCGATGGCGGCGGCGCAGCAGTTGCCGGCTAAGGTCGCGGAGGCGGAGGCGGCTGAGGCCCGTGCGGCGGCGGCTCGGGAGACTCGGCGCGAGCTCGAGCAGCAGCTCGAGTCTGCCAATGCATCGGTTGTGAAAGCAGAGGCAGAGGTGACTCGGCTTGAGGAGGCGGCTGATGACGCTCGCGAGTCGGCCGGGCTCCCGCGCAAGAAGCAAAAGGTGGAGGAGGGTGACGCCGAGCTGAGCTACCCGAAGTGGTCGACGGCAAAGTGGAACGAGCTCGAGACCAAGGAGCAGAAGCGGCGTGCCGTCGAGGTGCCCAAGGAGGGCGATTTCGAGATCCCCACTCAGGCAGCTCAGGTCGGGCTACAGAAGGGCGACGACACGCGCGGGTGGCACCTGCACTGGCGGCGCGGTGTCTTTGGTGCGTTGCAGAGCTGGGCCGCTGGCTCGCGCGCTGCGGTCGCGTATATGCTCGCGCGGTGTGCGAACCATTTTGGCGTCGTCAAACAGGTGCTCCGCGTGCCTGCTGTGCCTATGGGAGACTCTCCACTCAAGTCGCCCTCTCCTCATCCGACACGCTCCTATGCTCAGGTGGGTGTGGCACTCCATCTCTCGCTCGACGCCGAGCGCTTTAAGCAGGCCGAGACGGACGAAAAGATCGTCGACCGGCTGCGAGACGCGCTCAGCGAGCACAAGCGCTGCGGCTCGGCGGAGCAGCAACACGACTACCTCCTCCTTCTCGCGGCAGTCGCCCCCGAGAAGGCAAAGGCGAGCGACCCGAGGGGCTGGGGCAACCGCGTGAGCGCCCGTCTCGGCGTGAAGCCCGGGTATCGGGGCAAGGACAAGAGCCGTCCTCGCGCCTTCGAGAAGGCGACGGCTACCCGCGCAGCCTTTGACGCGGCGGTAGAGAAGGGCAAGGAATGGTCGTCGTTTGGTCTCCAAGTGGGAGACGCCGCCACCTCGCGCGGGCAGCTCTGCACTGTCCTCGAGATTGACTACGAGGCCGACACTTGCAAGCTTGGCTTCTCGGCGGGCGGCGTCGAGACTGCTCGGGAGTACACGTGCATTTACAAGGGGACGGACGCAGCCGGCAAGGATGCCTTCCCGAAGGGTAGCGCGCGCCTCCGCCGCGCGCCGCCGTCGCTTCGCCCGAACCCGCGCGCCGAGCGTGGCGACGCCACGATGGAGAAGGCGCGGGCCGCCGTCGAGAAGCTCTTTGACGACGAGGGTGCCCGCTCCCCAGCTCAGCGGGATCGGGTACGGCGGCGCGTGGGTGTCAACCTCTACGAGGAGGCGCAGGCTCTGATGGTGTACGCCAAGTGAGGAGGAGGCGCAGGCTCTGATGGTGTACGCCAAGTGAGACTCCCCGCACTCTCTCTCCATCGCGCCTCGCTCTTTCCGCCCGGTCGTCGAGCGCCTCGCTCCGCCTCCCACCACGCCCTCTGTCCTCCCCCGACGCAGGTACTCGGCGCTGTACGCCCTCTACTGCGCCCGTCTTGACTGCCCCATCAAGATCTCCTTCTCGGTCTTCAAGAAGCTTCGCCCGTGGTACGTGCGCCGCGCCAAGCAGGAGACGTGCTTGTGCAAGCAGTGTGAGAACTTTAAGGGCTTCCAGACGGTGCTCCACTCGCTGCCTAAGCTTTTCGATCCGCTCCTCGATCCGCCCTCCGCTGACGCCGACGACGCGCCCGACGGCGACGACGATGGCGAGTCAGAGGTCGACGGTTGGGCCGGCAAGGCCGCGCTGCTCAACCTCCTGTCGTTCTGCAAGCTGCCGTCCAAGTCGGACATGGTCAAGCGCTCGCTCTGCGCTGGCGCCTTCGACGGTCCGGGCAAGGAGGCGTGCATCAACGGCACCTGCAGCCGCTGCGGCTTCAAAACTTTGTGGTCGGCCTCGCTCCGCAAGCACGTGGTCGACAAGGACGGCAACGTGCTGGCTAGCGCGCCCAAGGAGTTCCAGTCGGAGGTCAAGTGGATCCGCATCCGCTCGTCCAAGTCGACCTCGCCCGGCGAGGCCAAGCAGCCGACCTACGAATCCAAGACGGGCACCCTCGTGCAGTTCCTTGACGACTTTGAGCGCGACGTGATGCGAAAATTCCCGCACCACCGCTTCACCGTTGCCCGTCAAAAGGCGATGGCCGCCGAGTTCAACCGC